AGGTCAGCAACTACATTGTCTGGGTTGTCCGGGATATCCAAATCTTTCTGATATAATTCCTCTGTGTATTCTTGCCACCTCTTCTTGATGTCTTCTGATTCTGTTAGGTCTCTCCCATTTTAGTCCTTTATCATGTTCATCTTTGCACAAAATGTTCCTCTAATATCTCCAATTTAGATTATACCTGAGGAGCCCAGTGGTTTTTCCTACTCTCTTCAGTTTAAGCTTGAATTTTACTATGAGAAGCTGATGATCAGAGCCACAATCAGCTCCAGGTCTTGTTTTTGCTGACTGTACAGAGCTTCTCCATCTTTGGCTGCAGAGAATATAATCAATCTGATTTCAACATTGCCCATCTGGTGATTTCCATGTATAGAGTCGCCTCTTGTGTTGGAAAAGAGTGTTTGTGATGACCAGCTTGTTCTCTTGACAAAACTCTATTAGCCTTTGCCCTGCTTCGTTCTGAACTCCAAGGCCAAACTTCCCTGTTGTTCCTTTTATCTCTTGGCTCCCTACTTTAGCTTTCCAGTCCCCTAGAATGAGAAGAACATCTTTCTTTGGTGCCAGTTCTAGAAGGTGTTGTAAATCTTCATAAAATTGTTCAATTTCAGTCTCCTCAGCAATGGAGGTTGGTGCATAAACTTGGATTATTGTGATGTGTCTGCCTCGGATTCGTATTGACATCATTCTATCATTTTTGAGATTGTATCCCATTACAACTTTTCCCACTCTTTTGTTGACTATGAAGGCTACTCCATTCCTTCTACAGGATTCTTGCCCACAATAGTAGATATGATAGAAACGTATCATAGATGCCAAGAGGGGCTTGCAGGAGCAGGTGGTACCTTTAATCGACCATTACGAATATAAAACAAAAAACAAACAGGGAGCATTCGATTATAAACAATCTTCTTCAAGGCTGTGCCCCAAGTTCTTGTGGGCAGTTCCAAACTTACATACTGCTTTTAATGTCCCACGCTTCCTGGCTGGTGGTGCAGAAGGTAGAAGCCAGGCAGGTTTCTTAGAAGGAGGCACTTCTGGCATACATGTTGGTTTCAAGCTCTTCAGCTAGCAAATTGGAAATGTATGGCCCATCTCTTAAAGGAGGACAGTCACAGGTAATGGGGGTGGGGGCTTCTCCTTTTATGCCTTTTTGAAACTCAGAGCTTCTCTTTTGCTGGGGGAGGGAAGGCTGCCCAGTTAACATGGTGTGCCTCTAACAGAGTTGGGGTTAGGAATTTAGTTAAACCACCAGGAACAGCCAAATAGTTTTTATCTGCTGGTTGCTGTCTTTAGCATGCAGTGCCACTTATTTGATATCAAGAGGCTATGATGTCTGCAAACTGCTGTTGGTCTTCTGTTGATGCACTGATCAGCCCTTCTTGGTCCATAGCCTTGAAGGAGATAATTTATCACTGAGAGCTTGTTTTTTGTGTTTTTGTTAATGGTCAATTAAAGATCTTTCATTTGTAGTGTTTCTAGGACCATGCTGCATTTTCCTGATTTTTCAAGAGAGGATTATTTTTTCTGCCTTTTCTCAATTATTTTAAACACATGAGAACTGTTGGCCTTCATCCCCACTAAGCATAGGCATGACCACATTGTACAGGAATATAGGGAGTTGTAGCTGGAGCACCAAAATTTCCTTACTCTTAAAGTGATTATTGATAAGAAAATAATTTATGTACCCTTATGCATGTTTACTCAGGAGTAGTTTAGTTAGGCTTTTGTTGTTGTTTAGTCGTTAAGTCACCATAGAGGTGGGGACAGCAGAGAGAAAAGGGAGAGACAATCAGTTACCTCCAGGCAGGGAATGGGTCTGGTTGCAAGATCCTTGGACTGGAGTTTGCAAGCAATTGAAAGTACCCAAGGAGGATGCAGACTATTGTCGAAGGAGGGAAATCCCCCCTAGACCCTCCTATTAGGGCTAAGCTGAGGCTTGAGTGGCGGAGGAAACTGAGAGAGGAAAAGGTAGAAAGGGAAAAGAGAGAACAATTGGCATAGAGGGTGGAAGAGATGAGGATGAGAGATTACAGGGAGGACCCTGGGTGACCTTTACCTTTACCACAGATGCAGGCTGGGCCAACCCCACTGAGGATGAGGCCATTCCCTTACTGGAGGGAGAGGCCAGAGAAATTCTGAAGAACAGAGCCGGAGTGGATTGGCCCGGTCCATGGAACACCTCAGAGACTAACCCGTTCTTAACTGATGACTGGAAACCCCTGCCAGACCCGTTGGCAACAGGAGAAAAGTTATGGGGCAATTGCATAGACACTGGATTTTTATTGAACACTCCAATAAACCTTTCCCCTGTTTCAAAGTTTTAAAAGTCTCCTGATTTTATTGAAGAAAAAAGTAGACTTTAAGGACGAACCCTCACACTAGCCCAGTGGTTTTTCCTACTTTCTTCAGTTTAAGCTTGAGTTTTGCTATAAGGAGCTGATGATTAGAGCCACAATCAGCTCCAGGACTTGTTTTTGCTGACTGTATATAGAGCTTCTCCATCTTTGGCTGCAGAGAACATAATCTGATTTCGGTTCGTAGAATTGGAGCCTTCAAAAAATAAACCTGGTCCTCAAAGTGTATGAGAGAAGGGTACTATTTTTGAATACAGTATAGTTAAAGCTCTGGAAGGTCCTAGAGCTACATGGCTTATGCTGTGTTTGTAATATACACTTACCGTAATAATATATAGTAAGACATAAAAAAGCCAGCGCAAACTACTTAGAATCAGTACTGGAGCTCATCTTTTGTGCTGTTTCTATAGTGTTAACACATTGCCTATTCCAGTGATTCTCCCTGAAAATTTCCCTGCATATTAAAAGCTAAAATGACCAGAATGATGTGTGTTTTTATTTTGGGAGCATACAAATGTGTTCTGTATGCCGTACTTAAATTTAAACGCACAAAGGTTTTAGTTCATTTGGAGAAATGTCTCACATGGTCTTCCACTTTGCTTTTAAATTATTTTTTATTATTTGCAGAATTTATGCTGTTTTTCAGTCAGAGCCATGATAGATTCTTTTTAAATCCTATCTCTAACCAAAATACTATACAGTATCCTTAAGAGTAAGGATGCATTGCTAGAAACCCAAGGCCAAGAACAT